ATCCACGACTTACCCGCTTTTTATTATTACATAGACCACCAAAAAAGTCAATGATAGATTATTTTGCACCAAATGTAGAGATAAATAAATAAATAGTTTCATTGAATGAGTATCACAATATAATAATGGGTCCATATGATTTAAATTTAAAATAATTCAATATTATCCGTATATTACCTAAACAGTTATGGTTAAATTTTTTTCTTCGGGCATCTACTTCAGAATTTAAAATCTACTTCTGCTGTTTAAGAATCAAGAATAAGTTTAGTATATTTTGTTTTTTGTTTTACATACAACTTTTTAAGAAAATTAAAAATAAACCAATCTAAATTAAGTAAACAGGTATTACCGGTATATGCACAGTGCACACATAACAAATTATGGCTTGAATATAATATGATGTATACTTATTTAAAACCACTGATCAATAAATCAATTAAAAATATGTACATGCGATCGTTTGACTAGTGTCTCATTATTATTGTAGATTTTATTTTGGTTTTTATTTGTTTTAGATATTATCAATAAGTTATTATGTTTATTATATAAAAATTAAATTAAGGTTACTTATTAACTGTTGTTTAAATGTAAATAGTATGTAAAAGACTCCCTACTCCTACCACAAGCTTGCTTACAGGGAGTACCTAGGGACCAACTTAAGGTATAAATATGTAAATATTACATAACAATATGTACCTATGTAGTATATTGTAAGTAGAAGTTGAAATAAATGAAATGAAATAAATAAACTAATATAATTTTGGTGTTTTATTATTAGAAAATAATATAAAAACATTTAATAAGGATAAAACTTGTCAGTTAACTTACTAGTTAGTGGATATTGTTTGTCGTTATCGCTAAGGTAAGCGTAAAAAAAATTAAAAAAATTAACGTATCTATAATTTATATTACAATAAGATTTCATTGGAATTATAAATAGTTAGGTTCTAATACAATATCTATAATTGACTACTAAAAAAAATAATAATAACAAACAATTCAAACTGATAAGTAATTTTGTGATCTACATAAAAATCAAAACAATTTATAAATATTATATTTTTGTATTTTGTATAGATCGTATACTTAATATTCCACCTATATAATAAATAATATCCCACTACGAATTCGAATTTATTATAATATTTAATCTGTATGAAAAACAATTATATTTTATTGTAAATTGGGTATTTTTTTTTAATGTATTATTGTATTAACATAGCATTATAGCATAATATATAATATATCTGTATAGTTTAAAGTGGTACATATGAAATATCTGTAATTTAAGAGACTAAAACAGCTGCACGGAAATTTTTTTTT